AAGAACCTCCATTTCAGTTGACATTTCTATAATAGGTTGCCATTACAGCCAAAGAGAATTAAAATACTACGTTTTAATTACAACCACTGTTAAAAGGACAGTTTTCCAAAACCTTTTGTTATTTAGATATGTATCTAAGGGAGTGCAACTGTCTAATTTGTTGGAATTTATTCATTAATATTGTGTATAGTTAGCGTCATATGACATTATATCTTATATAATCATAGTAAAGTCTGTTTTAAAAACATAATGTATGATGTAATAATGAGTTTTGAGAAAGACGTAACTAGTTTGACTACGTACAAATTAGTATAATTTTGTACGAGAAAATTAGTAGCAAGTTTGGTCGACAAAAATCTAACCAAATGGCGCCAGTTACGATACACTTTTTAATTGCCAGACATTTCTTAAGATATTCAAATTTTCAAACATGCTTAATGATCACAAGACCTTATTCAAATTTCTGACATAATAAAGTATTATCCATATTAAGACCTTCTTCTATCTCCGCTTACGGTCCCACACAAATACACAAACAAATACGAATCGAGAGTAAAAACGCGCACGTTTCATTTCATACATTTTAATAACAGAAAGGAAAACAAGCAAATATTAGCATAGCGTTTGAAAATTGGTTTTAAAAGTGGTAATTTCGAACAACCTCGCCTAAAGATTTGCATTAATTATTTTTCTGTGGAGATGCTTTGACAAAGTTACGTTTTACTTAGGCGGTCAACACTCTCGCATCTATATTCGAGTAGAATACTTTAAGCAAATATTTTTAATTAATATACAAGAATTTTAATCAAGTAAGAACTGTTATAATCAAAAATATTATAATTCATAATACTATTTGCTATTAATAGCTCTTACTATTGATTGCTCGATTATATGACTCTTCTTAGAAATAAATATACACGACCTCCGTAGCCGAGTGGTTCGCACGCCGGCTTCAAGGTGTAGCTATCTCTGAGGGCCCGACTTCAATTCACAGTTGGGTTCAATGTAGAAAATGGTCTTTTCTATATCGGGTCTGGGTGTTGTGGTACCTTCGATATCTTAGATACTCTATAATACGGGGGCTTTCTGATCAATCTGAGCAAAGTTTGTGATATTGTCCAACATTTATATTTATTTAATTGAAAAAAATAAGACTTTTTTAACAGATAATTTGATATCTACACATAGTAGGTAGTTTCTTACTTTTTCTGCATTGAGGTCTTTTAAAATACATAACGAATTTAATATAGAATGAGTGGTTGTTTATCTATAATACAGGACTACTCGGGCTAAGCCGCCGGCGGAAATCTAGTTAGCTATAAAATATTTAGACGCCAAGAGAAAAAGCTCGCGACCTTCATGTACAGTTAGGCATTACCAATTTGTACATCATTATTTTTAATACCAAGGTTATGTAAATGCTTGTAATAAGTATCGGCATACACTTAGCAGTAATTTGGGTGTGTTATTAAAATAATTGAAATTGTAACTCCTTGCCAAATACACAAAATAAATGTTATAACTATTATAATAAATAATTAAATTTGTTTCCAGTGCTGAATTTGATTGAAATTTAGTACACAGATAAATTTGATCTTGATAATGAAAGTAGTTACCTTATATGGAGGAAAAATAGGTTGATATGGTCGAAATAGGGGATAGAAGTAATCATTTGCGGTTGAAGTCGTAGGCAAAAGCTAATCAATAATGCTTTTGGAATAATAACTGCTACCGTTTGCAAAACAGATCCGCTTAAAGATCGTGTTCCATTTCTCATATAGCCAGTTGCACAATGTCCATTATAATTGTCATTAATTTAATGCAACATTATCCATACAATTATTTATTTATAATATTTTTTCAGTATAGCACTGTGAATGTAAAATTCATTAAATATAATAATTAGAACAAATTTTCAACTTTCTCGAAAGTTTTTAATATTTGTGAAATATTTCTTTAGGCTGTTTTAGTGGATTGCCTGAACATTGATGAGAATAAGCTCTGTAGTAGCGAAAAGTAACAAGTGCTTGAAAGATTCGTTAGTCCTGTTAGGTCCTGGGTAGCTCAGTGGTTAGAGCAGTCACCCGGTTAGCGAAAGGTCATGAGTTCGAATCCCATCTCAGGGTGCCAGGGACCAAGTGGATTTTAAAAAGCATTTTTCATCTATTTATTTATTAATTAAACCTTAAATACGTTAGTTAACGATAATGTTATAGTTTTTCCATCAATCAATTATTGTAATTCTTTTTAATGCTACCAATTATATGTTTTAAACAAATAATCTGTCTTAAAAGCTGCCCTCCGCAACATTAGTTCTCAACTTCCTCTATGATTATCGGCTTTGTTATTTAATAATGATTTACGATGACGCCTACACAGAGTTATTGAATCAACGGGTGGTAGGGAAAATATCAGCAATTGAAAAGAGCTTTTAAGTATTAAAGCTCAATTCGAATAAAGAAAAATTTATTTGTACTATTAAACAAAGCGTATGGTCCCTAGGGAACTGTTTTAGTATTAGACATATAATTAAATAAACAAATTGAATAGTAAGCAATGGTTACTATGGTAACAATTTGATTCCCTATACAAACTTCCAGTCTCGTTTTCATCCCTCTGCTGTTTTTTCGGGATAAAATATAGCCTATGTTCACTGCATATGGTGTAGGTTATCGCAGGTGAATTTTTAAAATCAGTTCAGTAGTTTCGGAGTAGGAGGAGTATTTTTATTATTATTGGAAAAAACGAAAAAAGCACTTACCCACCGTACGAATTAACATAGCGCCAGGCTCGAAATTATTTACTCCCTACGCTACCCTGTACGACACCCCGCCGTCGCCATGCGAGTTCAGCAGCGTTAGTAATATAACTATTACATGTCTTTGTTGTCTACTAAATTTAAAGTATTTCTATTGTTCCTTTGGAAGACACGAATTTATTTTTATTAAGATAAGATTTATTATCTGATCTTAGTTTTTTTGTAAAATATATTCTTAAGTTCGAAATTCATTAATTCTAGCCGGATAGGGTTAATTTGTATGAGTGCAGTTTGTGTAAATTTGATATTTCGAATGAATACATATGAAAAAATAACTTTTTTTAAATTATAACTATCACATTTTTCTGACCTTTGTTACTGATTAATAAACCCTATTCATTGATTCACCACACATGTTATAAAAATATTGTTGAGACTTGAAGTAAGTTTTGTTGCTGTTAGTTCAACCAAAGAGCAATAAAACTAACTTAGTTAGTTGTTATTGTTTTCAGAACCTTTCTTAAATATTATAATAATAAATGCCTAGACTTGGCCCATTCTACTAAATAAATTTTCGATTTAAACAAAATTTATTTAGTAGAATTGGCCCCCTGATGTGCCATATGGATTTTAATTTACAAAAACTATGTCACGGTAATATTATTATAAACCGTATCGAAATGCTACTTTTTATAATCTTATAGCAATATTTTATAGATTTCCATAGATTTTAAAAACCATTCATTTATTCAAAGCTTCGTTCATCGTATTTAATCGAGCTGCGTTTAACTCTGATTGATTAAATTTCAACTCGACATTTATCCGAGTTCATAGCGACACTAAAAATTCTATTCCCTTTGGTCGAACGTCATGAATTGACATTTAGATCCTAAATTTGGTGCTGCCATCTAGTGACATAATTTTTTTTTTTTATAAATAATTTCTCATTACAACATTAAAATAAACTTAATTTGGCATTTAATCAAAAGTAATTAGTATAAGAACTTGGTCAATAAGATTTATTAAAAGTAGGAAGTTTTCGCTTTCACTGTCCATTTCTATAGATCAATTTAAAAATTAATGTTATACCTTAGACTTTATTAATATATATTTGTATAAAAATATAAGATACTTCTGAGATATAGTAAATTCTAGCTATTTAATCTTACTTTAACATTTAAGTAGATTCACCTGTGTTACTTATAAAATAATATTCAAATAGCCAAGTTTAAAAGCATGAATTTATTTCAAACGTAAATACACATTCTCTTATTAGCGTTTAATTTTGAAAGTAGTTGATATTCTATTAACAATTATAATAACTGGATTAAAACTACAACCGGTATAACAACGTTTATGTCACCTGCTTAAATAGCAGCTGTTCATATTTATGTAATATTGACAAATATTGTCACATAAAACCAGCTGATCTGACTTAGAATTTCCGATTCCGAATCATTAAAGAAAAAGTATGAGTTGAAACCGTCTAAAAAAATGTTGTTTATAAAAAAAAATACAAACAGTTCATTATAATGCCATATTTTTTATTAACTAATGTATATAACGTTATTTATATAAGAAATTAGTTTCATAGCTTTAAAATTTAAATAAAACCAAGTGAATCAAAAATATCATTAATAATACTATCACATTCATATTTGCCAGTTATTTTATTACGTAAATGTGATGTGTTGAACGCATACAGAATATTAAATTGCAAATGTACCGGTATTTGATGTATGTATAAAAAAGAAACTTGTAATGTTTGAAGCAAGGAACCATTGACAACTTCCTTCTCGAGAATATTAATTTTGCGTCTGATGTGCCACTTGAAAATGTGCCGGTATATGATGTTTGTATAAAAAAGAAACTTGTAATAATGTTCATAGCAAGCAACCGTTGACATCTTCCTTCTCATAATAAATTACGGTAAGATACGAACCAACTACACCACTTTCACTCTCTGTGTGATCGTGTACTTGTATGACATAACCGTGTATAGATCTCGGCACAAAGCGAAAACGTATCCTTATTAATGTAAAAATAAAAAAAAGTTTGCTCGTAATACAACAATTTTTTTGTTTACCACAAAATTCTATTAAAAAGCTCACGAACTTCCGCAAACTTTTAGCGAATCATTGCAAAAAATAAATATAAAAACCTCTATGGATATCATAAAACTCAAAATATAAACGATTATACGAACCGATTATATTAAAAATGAAAATAAAAATAAACTCACAGACTAAACTCCGGCTGATACTGGCCACAAACACAAAAAAGGTTTCGCCTCGTAAAAAAAAGTTACGCGTTTGAAAATAGAAGCGGTTGACTCCGTTCACGGTGCTCGACTGTGGAATCGTCGCGCGCGCAGGTGAATGTGAACGTCACTCACCACTCTTGTTTTGCTGGTATCAGCCGCATTAAGGAGTGTACTCGGCGTTCTTTATTGCCAATGAATAAACGCCTCCTCGAATTGGCAGGAGAATATCGTCATTTGTCGTGTGCGTTGAACTTTGCGGTCCATTTTATATGCCAATTGTTATGCTCGCCGGGTGTGAAGTGTCTCATTTTTATTCAGACTCTATGAAGGTGATGTGGATCCGTCTCTTTGGAATTCTCGGATCCATGTAAAAACTTGATGCAGTATGAGGAAAATCGAATGAAATGACATTATTGGGACCAACTTATCATTAAAATGAAATTAAACTCGATTCGATTTACTATCGAGATACATAAACGTAAAATATTTAGGTTTGATTTAAAAATACTAGCAAGGTAAATATCTAACATCTAAATATTTGGGATTCTTTTTTAGAATCAGAGTTCATCAGACTAGCATGTGATTGAGATTATAATTAGTATCACATGAAAGAAATATTTCAAATATTAATTAATGGTAACAGTTAACAAAAGCTTAAGTTCAAAGACTTTCATTTATTAAATTCACTTATAGGTAGATAATATGAGAAAATTTAAGTGAGGCCACTCAATAATAAGCTTTTTGAATATAGCCTTTCTTCGAATTCATATAAATCTTTATCAAAAGCACTTATTATACTTAAATTAGAGAGGTTAATTTTCAATATCAATAAGACTAGTCTGCAACTCTCTAAAGCTCCACAAATGGTTGTGTTTATTACTAAAAGTTATATTAAAATTTGAGAATATTAAGATAATTTATATAATAAAATAGTAACAAAATCATCTAAAGCAAAATTTTAAACTTAAATAACTGTTTAAAGGAAAATAGCCTGTAACAAAATTAATTACCTACATCTTAAAAACACCGGCCAAGATCGAGTCGGACCTTCGCTAAGGGTCCGTACAGGAAACGAGCCAAAAAATCACGTTTGTTTTCTGTATGAGAGCCCCCTTAAATATTTATTTTATTCCGGTTTTTAGTTTGTTTTTGTTGAAGCGGCCACAGAAATACATCATGTGTGAAAATTTCACTGTTTATGAACAGTGAAATTTTCATAGATGATGTAACAGAAAGACAGACAGCGAAATTTTGGTAAGTAATGGAGCTCTCAAATCCTAAAGCAAAGTCAATAAAAAAAACTGTATAATATATTAAACTCAAATGTCATTACATACGTTTTGGTGCTATGTTTACTAATAGCTAAAGTAATAGAAAAGGTAGATTTAAGTGTATAATCTTTGAATGTTTTGTATAAATTGGTTAAATGGACAATAATTTTTCAAGAAGACAGTATAATGTATTGCTTATGACCTCTATACTTAATGCTTATTGCATCGTTTAAATCTAAATAGGTTCCACTACAAAAAGTTTGATTTATGCACAGATAACATTCTAGATGTGTAATTAATATCTGTATGTTGAACTAGTTATAAATATCCAGCCGCAAAACTCATAGATCCAGTTTTGTACTTACAGGAAAATATAATTGTCAGTGAAAGTTGTGAAATTCAATAATTTGTCGATATCCGTGGTATAGTACCTGCGCCTGTTTAGAACTTGTCAACATCACGGAGACTTTCATTCATATGTTCATTTCTGACAGCCCTTTGTGCAAGAGTCTGGCTCTGTATGTGTGCTTGGACAGTCCACGGATATAAATGGAGGTCGAAAAGGTACGAACACGAATGGGCTTCTTGGAGAAATTAGAGTAGCAAGACTGATACAACCTCTTTCCACGCAACATAGGTGCCGCCGAATGAGAATAACCCATTGGGTTAATTTTGTGTATTATCTCGGGATCTAGATATTATTGTTTATTAGATTAGTAGACTCATTTTTTGACCATCTTAGTAGAATTTAGAGTTGAGCCACCATCATCACATCCCATCCCATCCGCTTTCGTAACCTAGTTTCTTAACATACGCTACGAAAGAAGATCTTTCTTCATTTTTGCACAATTTATTATCTTTTCATTTCCTTAACACAATTGCTTTTTATTACCTCTTAATAAGAGCTATGTATGCGATGTTATCTAATGTATTTCTCGTCTCGTTTATAATCTTATGTGTATTGGTCTATTTCGTTTCTCAAAACATTTACGCTTTATTATTTGTAGTTTTTAACTCTTTTACTCATGAAATATAATAATTATTCGCACTTTCATAGTAAATATTTCTCGTAAAGTTTTTTATCTTGCTAGATACCTATTCAAAATTCACTATGTTTAAGGAGGATTTTCATGAAGTTAAACTACCAACATAGTAGATGTTGCTAGTTTAACTTCATATAGTGATTGACTTGTAGCCATTATTAGATAGATAGACACTTTATTGCACACACATAATTATTAATATTGATTAAGTTAGCAATTTTGGTTCTGACGCCAGGGTGGACAAAGGCGGTCTTTACGTAAAATCTCTTCCAGATAACCTTTGGTTCATTGAATATAACATTAGTCGAAGTTTTAGAAAAAGCATTAGAAAATTTTTAATTAATTCATGCACAATTGCACATAGGCGGATTTAAAAACAAAGACTTCAGAAGTTCTAATTATCTTGAATTTCTGGGTACTGTAACGTCCGTGCACATTACTATAGGTAGTTTTACTCTTCGGACGTTTTACGGTCAATGCTGGCCTATGATAATCTTTCTTTTCTGATAAGTTGACAATTACTAACCTACTAATATTGTATGCCTTTTAGGCAGATCACGGTGTAACTATTCAGTCCTTGCATCCAATATCTTTATATAACCTGTGATCAACAATAAAGATTGATTTGATTTGATTTGATTTGATTTGATCGAGACCGGTATAGAGTGAGTATAATAGTATTTCGTTGTAAATTTAATGTTATAATATTCGAAAATAAAATCAAGACTGAGAAATTCTACCAGTTTTTCATTGCGCTACCCATTTCTACCGTTAGAATTAAGTTATCAGAGTACCTAGTACCAAGAGAATGATAGAGGGTGAATACTGATTTAAAATACTATGTACTGATTTATAAATCTGTATAAAGTCGTTACAGATTGTCAGTGTTATATTTGAATTGAATTATACATGTATGTGGACCTTCATAAGGTAACATATAATTTTATGTGCGAATTCCACAGGGTTGTCAAGGTCAACAGGGCGACCTGACGAGTTCCAACCAGCTGGGTCAACAACACCTGACAATAAAATATAAATGTCACCGGCCCTTCGGCTTTTGAAGACGACCCTGTTGAAGTTGTATTTTTTTTTCTTTAAGCTCGTTGTCTCGACAAATGATTAATGTGACCATGTGTCCGGTTTAGACGGGACAATCCCATTGTCCTCGGCCAGAGCAAAAATATATTAGCTTTGAACTGACCAAACGTTTACTTTTGATTTGTGTCTACCTAAAAGTAACATACATATAATCAGTATTTTTCACTAATAAATACTACGTTAATATACCAATCAAATAATAGATTTGTTAATAAAGCAGCGAAAAATCAGGACTGAGATAAGCTTCATTTCTATTGTTCTTCCGCTGATACTTGCAATAAAATTCGTCTAAGACCCAAATGCAATGTGAATTTAATATTATTGTAATTATATTTCTTATTTTCAGGAAAGTATTTCATATAAGGTTTTTTATTTATTTGATATCTTTTTGTAGTTTATCGTAATAAATGTGAAATCGTTCATTATACTCGTACATAGTCTTATTCCTTTTCATATATATAGCTTATTCGAGGGGATTTCCATTGGCTGCAATACAGTCCTTTAAACATTAAGGCCAGTTATCAATAGACACACGCACTATTGCCATGGGACATTCTTAACTGCCAATCGTATGGATTGTTTTAGGGACTCCTAATTATCTTGGCATTTAGAGCAAGCCTTACTCTCTCTAAAACAGACCGTAAATCATTTTTATCTGGGCTAAAATCTTTTGCTTTCGGACAGGTCTTCTTCGAATTATTTTCTTACTGCTTTGATCGCCTTTTTCGTACGAATACTAAGTGGACAGATCTTTTTCTGTCACAAACAGAAGAGGTTTCATTGTATCTATCAAAAGCCGGGTATACAAAAATTTTACTAATACCAAGCGTATGGAGTGTTTTGAAAATTGTCTTTGGCTCCATACCTACTTTATGTAATGCAATCACAGTAATGCGGTTTTCTTTATCACACCACTCCATTTAATATCCTAAACTATTTTATAATTTATTGACGCGGACACAAGAAAAGACAACAACCATATAAAAATGACAGACTCCAAATTCAAAACTAATACTTGTTTCTCCGTTTATTTTTAATTCTAACAGTATTTATGGCCAGACTAAATAGTTGGAAATTTCTATATAGCATTACCAGATATTTCTGCGCCGCACCATTCTAATGTGTGTTACGTGCTTTCATTTATGAGAGGGCGGGCAATGAACTGATATCTGCAAGATATATATGTACCTATAATAGGTACTAACTGGGAGTAGAGGTTGCACACTTTTATAATACTATATAAGTTTTTAGTAGTTACATATTCGTTTTATATTGTTATCATATCATATAATTTGAATAAATAAAAAAACATCATTTTTTAAAATATATTGCACAAGTCTTGCTTAGAACAATTGAATGAATGGTCACATTAAAAAGTCGCAATTAAGAAAACAGTAAAAAATTGTCGACATATTTTACGTAAATACAAGAATACATTTTAATTAGTATTATCAAATTATTATCAATTTTTATAGTGCCACACCAGCGGTACAAATACAGGATTTTCACATCGGTTTACCTGTCCGTAGAAACAGTCTTCTTTGGTAGTGTTTCCAAGTTCATTTAGACGTTGGAACTTTGAATAAGATTCTAAAAAATATTTTGGCAGGTTGACAAGTTAATGGTGGCTGCATTAGTATTATGTTGAACCTTCATCATTTGCTTCTATAATATATTT